AAATAGCTAGCAATTTGGGAATAACAAGGTTAAACCCCTACCTCACACCATATGCAATCATAAATTCTAGTAGAGCCAAAGCTTTCAAAGTAAAACACAAAATAACAATATCCAACTTTATTTCTTTTAATTTGACCAGAAAGGGACAGAGTGAAAGAGAGAGAGAGGGAAAGTGAGATAGTAAACTACCAGGTCCGGGACATGAACTGCGGTTGACCCATGTAGGAATCCAGCGCCCTTAGCCACTATGCCACCTGCTGGCCCCAATATTTTTTATTTTTATTTTTTGGAGAGGTTTTTGCCACAGGGCATGTGCACTTACCAGAGAGACAGAGAGAGACAGACAGAAAGCGAGAAATCACCCTCCAGGGGGGATGGCCATGCTGCAATCCCTTCTCTTCCATTCTCCTCTCGGGATCTTGGGCAGGCATGCACAATCGCCCGGTGTGAGTTTAAGACACCAGGTCCGGGACTCAAACAGCAGTCGAGTCGACTACAGTTCAGCAACATAGCCATTACGCCAACTACTGGTCCTGTCAATATGTTTTTAAATAGTTTTTGTTTGGAGAGGTTTTTTTTTTTTTTTTTGTTTTTTTTTTTTTTTGCTATAGGACACATGTGCTTGCCAGAAAGACAGAGAGAGACAGAGAGACAGAAAGCAAGAAATCACCCCCCGGGGGGATGGCCACACCGCAATCCTTTTTCCTCCATTCTCCTCTTGGGATCTTAGGCACGCACGCACATGAACCTGTCATGAGTTCGAGCCCCTGGGTCTGAGACTCGAACCGTGGTCGGCTACATGGGAGTTCAGCGACATACCCATTACGCCAACTGCTGGTCCCAATAGAAAGGTTTTTATAATATTAGTGTGAGAAGGCCTGACAGCTTTTACTTTTCTTTTCTTTATTTTTTGGAGAGGTTTTTGCTATAGGGCATGTGCGCTTGTCAGAAAGACAAAGAGAAAGACAGAGAGACAGAAAGTGAGAAATCTCCCCCCAGGGGGAATGGCCATGCTGCAATCCCTTCTCCTCCATTCTCCTCCCAGGATCTTGGGCACGCATGCACACGTGCCTGCCGTGATTTAAGCCACTGGGTTCGGGACTTGAACCATGGTCGACTACGTGGGAGTACAACGACATAGCCATTACGCTAACTGCTGGTCCCACAGCTTTTTTTTTTTCTACAGGTAGATACACTCACCAAAAAGAGACACAGAGACAGAGAGAAAGGGACAGAAGAGAGCACTGGCCATGAGAATGGTCACACCACAGTCCCCTCTCCTTCATTTCTCCCTCCCTTCAGGACTCCGGGCATGCACATACACATGCTCAGCATGTCTCTCAAGCCACTGGGTCCAGGACTCAAACTGCATATTTGGCCATGCCCCAATGTGCCAGGCCATCGAGCCATAGATCCAGCCTCTTCTTAAGTTCTTAAAGCAAGACAGTGGGGCCAGCAGGTGGCATGGTGGTTAGGGTGTTGAACTCCAACATGGCTGACCACGGTTTGAGCCCCAGACCCAGTGGCTTACTTTCTCACTTTCTCTTTCTGTCTGTGATGAGCACACATGCCCTATAGCAAATTAAAAATGATAAATAAATTCATTAATAATTCTTTTTAAAAAGCAAGATAGGTGATATAAAAATCATAAAAGAAAAACATTTTTTTTTTTGGAGAGGTTTTTGCTATAGGGCACACGCACTCGCCAGAAAGACCGAGAGAGACAGAGAGACAGAAAGCGAGAAATCACCCCCCAGGGGGGATGGCCACGCCGCAATCCCTTCTTCTCCATTCTCCGCTTGAGATTTTGGGGACTCATGCACACGCACCCGGCGTGAGTTTTAAGCCACCAGGTCCAGGACGCGAACCGTGGTCGACTACATGGGAGTCCAGTGACATAGCCATTACACTAACTGCTAGTCCCAAGAAAAAAAATTTTCTTAACAGATTGGAGGAAAAAAGGTTTGCAGCACATTTGACAGACGAGTTGTTATCCCCCATATACAACAATCCAACAGGAAAATGATGGAAAGCGACGGGCGGTTTGCAGGAGGTGGGTGCTAATAGCTATAAATATATAAAAAGACAATCACCGCTCTAATTTTGCAAACGACAGCAAAAACGCAAACAACCTATATATTTTTTTTCTTTTTTTAAATGGGGCATGAATATAAACAAGCAATTGCCAGAAGAGCTTACCCAAGTAAGTAGCAAACAGAAAAAAAGACTCACGCTCCTGAGTGGTCATAAAAATGCCCATTAAAGTTACAATAATATCTCTTTTCTTTTCTTTTTTTTTTTTTTTTTTTTTTTTTTGCCAGAGAGCACATGCATTTGCTGGAGAGAGACACAGAGAAAGGGAAAGCAAGAAAGCACTCCCCCTCCCCCGAGGGAACGGTCAAGCTGCAATACCCTCTCCATTTCTCTCTCCTTTTGGGATTTTGGGCCCTCACACAAACCCGGCAAGTTTTCCAAGGCACCAGATCCAGGGACTCAAACCACAGTCAGCCACTGGGATCCAGCTCACATAACAACTAGGCCACAGGCCGGTCCGGAGATGTGACATTATAGCCATAAACTTTAAAGGTAATAACACCCACTTCTGGGAGGGACAAAGAGGCTCAGTACATTACTGGTGCCGATAAGGATTGTTAACAGCCTCTGGGGAAGCGGTCTGTAATGCCTATGAAAGAGACACGCTCCGGCTAGCGTCTGTACTCACACCTGACATGCAAACGCCCGCGTGTGCAGCGAGAGCTATCTGAGAATATTCTGTGCAGCACGGGGAGAATGGTGGAACGCCTCCGAAGAAGAGTACATGAACAATGCTGAACCTACCGGGTGGAATACTGTGCAGCCCTTATTAAGAATACAGTAGAGGGAACCAGCAGTTAGCGTAATGGCTATGTCGCTGGATTCCCACATAGTCGACCGCGGTTCGCATCCCGGACCCGGTGGCTTAAAACTCACGCCGGGCGCATGTACGTGCGTGCCCAAGATCCCGAGAGGAGAAAGGAGAAGGGATTGCGGCATGGCCATCCCCCCTGGGGGGTGATTTCTCGCTTTCTGTCTCTATGTCTCTCTCTGTCTGGTGAGCGCACGCGCCCTGTGGCAAAAATCTCTCCAAAAAAAAAAAGAATACAGCAGAGGGGCCAGCAGGTGGCACTGTGGTTTAGGTACTAGATTCCCACACAGCTGACGGTGATTCAAGGCCCAGACCTGGCCCCTGGAAAATCATGCCAGTCATGTGTATGTGCATGCTCAAAAATCCTGCGAGGAGAATGGAGGAGAAGATACTGCAGTGTGGCCATTGCCCCTGGAGGGTGACTTCTTACTTTCCTCTCTCCTTCTCTCTGTCTCTCTCCAGCAAGAGTACATACCCTATGGCAAGGACCTAAAAAAAAAGAAAAAGAGTTAGAATTAGATGTATTGTCCTAGAGAGGTGCACATGATGGGTGACAAAAGGTGAATTGATACATATGTGGGTTTTTTTTTTCTTTTTTTGGAAAGTCACAGGGCCAACAGATAGCACAATGGTTATGTCGCTGTACTCCCACATAATTGAAGTTTGAATCCCAAACCTGGTGACTTCAAATTCACACCGGGCGCGTGTGTGTGCGTGCCCAAGATCCCGAGAGGAGAATGGAGGAGAAGGGATTGCGGCGTGGCCATCATCCAAAAATGGTGATTTCTCATTTTTTGTCTCTCTGGTGAGTGCATGTGCCATAGAGCAAAAATCTCTCTAAAAAAAGAACTTAACTCTGGAAACAAAATGGAGACTCACCATCTCTCCACTGTGTGTGATAACCCTGTGGGCTTCAGTTTCCTCAACTGCAAAAGGGGTTAGTAAGTATGTCTCTCACAAGGGTATTGTGCACATGCGACCATTTATTTATTTATTTATTTTGGAGAGGTTTTTGCTATAGGGTGCATGCACTCGCCAGAAAGAGACAGAGAGACAGAAATTGAGAAATCACCACCCAGAGGGGATGGCCACACAACAATCTCTTCTCCTTCCAGGATCTTGGGCACGCACACACACACACCTGGTGTGAGTTTAAGCCACCAGATCCGGGACTTGAACCATGGTCAACTACATGGGAGTCCAGCAACATAGCCATTATGCCAACTGCTGGTCCTGCATGTAATGAACTTCTGAAAAGTGCTTAAAGATGGCTCACGGGCCATTTGATGACATCATGAGTTCCACGCATGGAGAACACAGGAAGAAAACACACCACGTCGCTGTCATTGGTGACCTCAGACGGACGGGGCTGGAGAGACGGCATGTAGGTAACAGCACAGGTATTGCGTTGTCACTGCTAGCACGTGTTGCTGTTGTAGAGCCACTACAGGGGCCAGCTGGTGGCATGGTATGCAGGGTGGCTGGATCCCACACGGCCAATGCCCGGTTCCAGTCTTGGAGTAACACGCCCAAAATCCGGAGGAGACAGGAGATAAAGGAGCGGTCATCATCCCGGGGCGGTGTCATAAGCACATTGCTTACTACTATGGCAGGCATGAGTTCGAGCCCCAGAGGCACCTACGTGGCTCATGCACCAGACATCTTCTAAGGGTCCTTTCCTTGTCAACCCGTGTGACCCCTCATCCACCCATGGGTTGAGCTCTTTAGAACTCACCTCCACGTTGCAGGGGGGAAAGCTTAGGCACCAGAAACCACCACCTGTTGGGCTCGCACACTGGGAAGTGGCCTCGTGTTGAACACAGGCAACCTGGCTCTGCATCATGGCTCTGGACGGGGTCTCGGGAACCTCCCAGCTCTGGTACCTCCCATGTCCTAGCCCTTGACTTCCCCTCTCCCATCCTTAGTTGATGCGAAATGAACTTCCCCCTAATCACCTTTTCCGTTTGCTGCAAGGGTTAAATGGCATGGAACTTGGCCTTGGGAGAAGGAAGCGGTTTCTAAATGGGGGCCTTTGTTACCTCAGTCCCTGCAGGAGGATGTCCCAATGCCCAGTCCTCTCACCCTCAAGTGTCATGTTCCTGGTGAGCTGGCCAATGCCCCACTGAGAGGAAAGACCAAGCAGGACAAGGATCCAGGCCCCGGTCTTCCAGAAACCACGGGACGAAGTGCCCAGGAGCCTGCGTGTCCCTGGGACCGGGTGAGTCGCCCCCTGGCATGTGCTTGGCTTCCTCCTCCCCACCCGACCCAGGCCACCACCCCGACCACACCCCACCCTTTTCCTGCTCTGCCAGAGGAGGAAGCTGAGTCTGGGGTACTGAGCGACCAGAGTCCCACAGGGTGTGAAGCAAGACCCTCTCCACCCTTCCGCCAGGCAGATTAAAGCTGCCCCGCCAGCTGCGGGCTCGAGTTCTAGGGGTCCCGCGTCCCGCCCGCCATGTCCTCCCGCCACGCGCTCTTTGCCTGGAACCTCTTCGTCCTCCTCGCCCTGGGCATGGCTGAGGAGGCCAAAGACACTGCCTGCTGCGGCCCCATCGTGCCTCGGAGCGAGTGGAGGGCCCTGGCGTCCGAGTGCTCCCAGAAACTGAGGCTGCCTGTGCGCTACGTGGTGGTGTCGCACACTGCCGGCAGCAGCTCCAACACCCCGGCCTCGTGCGCGCAGCAGGCGCAGAACGTGCAGCACTACCACGCGCGGATGCTGGAATGGTGCGACGTGAGCTACAAGTGAGTGCTGGGGCGCAGGGGGTGCGGGTGCAGGGACAGTAGACCCCGCCCTGGGCGCTTACTCCACCTTGCCAGGGCTCCTGGCTCCCGGCAGGTCACTACCTGGAGCTGGGTAGGTGCGGGGCGCACAGATGCTGTGAGGAGGGGGAGGGGCAGGAGTGCAGCCCGCTCCCCAGGAAGGAGGAGGTCGCCCCCACCCAAACCAAAGTGTCTTACAGTCCTTCATTAGGTGAGAACCAGGCTGATTCGGTTTATTTCTGGCGGAGACCTGGGGCAGACCACTAGACTGGGGCAGGCCCTTTAGGCTGCAGCTTCCTCCTCTGCTAAGCCAGGGGGCTGTGTGGCCTGCCTGACCATTGTAGGAGCCAATACCTGCGAAGCCTGGCACGTAGGAGCCCCGGGACCGTGGGGTGCTACATGCCAGGTGATGAGCAGGATGGGGACACGCAGAACAGCGATTCCAGCCCTGAGGGGTCTAGAGCAGCAGGAGAAATGCCAGGAACAAGCCAAGTGGACAGGATGAATTCTGACGGTCAAAGCGATGGATTAAAACCACAGACCTGGGACCAGCAGTTAGCGTAATGGCTATGTCGCTGGACTCCCACGTAGCCGACCGCGGTTCACGTCCCGGACCCGGTGGCTTAAAACTCACGCCGGGCGCGTGTGCGTGCGTGCCCAAGATCCCGAGAGGAGAATGGAGGAGAAGGGATTGCGGCGTGA